TACTAAATACGTATATTACATATCTGTCAAAATCATTACTACCAACAATCTACATTTCTAATGCAACACAAGAACAGTTTATTTCAGCAAAAATTTAACAATTAAGTAAAAAAATGGTGTCAATCACTTTATTTATGACAGAGCAGGCTTTAATTTGAGCGGTGATGACATTTCACTGTGGTTTTAATGAGATTTAAAGGCTCCAGTCGCCTGCTCTAAACAGCAACTCCCATGTTCTACATTGTCAAATCTTCCTGTCTTCTAATGAAATGAAAAGTGTTTGAATTAGCAGCAAAGCTGATATCAAATATTGTAGTGCTTTATTTCACAGGTCTGTAATTTCTTATTATTTTTGTAAGAAACTGAACAAGAACTTTATCATATGGTTCTAATTACAGAGAAACTTGAGACGGTTATTTAACTTTTAAGTGAGTATACTTGTGTTGAGCTTAAATGCAGCTGACCTGCTCAACTAGACCCATGTAATTAATAATACAATATTCATTTATTATTCACAACTTTATCCTCCATATTTGTGAAATTGTTTCCTAACCTGTGAACAAAAGTCCAGTTTTTGAATGTTAAGTTGACCTCATGTGCACTCAGGTCTTCATACGCTGGTGATTAATTCAAACTGGCCTAAATATTTAATCTAAAGTTCACAAATGTAATATTTGACCAGTAATTAGTACCAAATGAAACCGTTCTTGCACAAAATAACATTGGATATTATTAAATAAATATTTCCCTGTAAAATAAAGTGTCAATTTAAGTTGTGGAAAAAAATTGAAATAATGTTTTCCTGATTCAATATAAAACATGAAGGTAAAAGCCAATATTGCCATATCAAAACAGAACATGGGAGTGAAAATTGGCTGATGATAATCATAATTTACATAAAGAGTCCTGACTGTAATGAGGATGGGATTGCCACAGATTTCTACAGAGACTGAACAAGAAACTGATTTTAATCTGATGCAGATTTCAATAAATGTGGTCCACCATTAAATAGAAAAAGTCTACTTTGGAGCACATGTGTTTCAGGCTAAGTGATAAGATGTTTCAAATGCTATTTCTAAGACAGTAGTTGCAGTAATCTGGAGCGTATTCAGGATGAGAGTTTCAGACTAGCGATCTGTGGGCCGCAGCAGCGTGAGACTGACCTTACTTCCAGAGTCCTTGGGTCCACACTCTCCCTTGTCATACCACCATTTGTTTTTCAGTTTGTCTAAGACGCCTGCTTCGCTCAGTTTCAATACTGCAAGGTTTACCGGGGTTCTTCGCGTGTAAAAATAACATAAATAACATCATAGGTCATGTTATTTTATGTTATTAGAGTATTTCACATTTGCATTGCACAGCTCAGTCACATTGAAACTTTTTTTGTTCAAATCAAGTGACCTAGCATGGATCCCACTGAGTACATGTGTGTATGCTCGTTGAGGAGGGGCTGGGGGGAGCGAGGAGCTAAGGCGAGCTACAGACATATGAGTGGGACCCACCTTTGTCACCTCGGGTAACACACCCATACTGCCCCAGCTGGTTCTGCACTTAACAGAGCCAAGTACTGCTAAACCAGGACTATTAGCATCAGGCTAGCTCTGTGCTACAACTGGGAGAGAGAGCTCCTATCTTATGGTGCATTTACACTAAACGAAAAGCAAATCTTTATATCGCGTGATGAGATTATATACAATATCAATGTAAAGATGCAAATACACAAACCCAAACTTTTCCTATAGCACCATCAACTGGTCAGAATTCCAATTGGTCTGATAATTAAAATGTCTAATTTAAAACTAACTTCAATCCTCTGTTTTGTGCTAAATAGGACATGCTATGTAAAATGCTTAGCATGCATTGTCTGCCAAACATCAGCATGTTAGCGATGCTATTGAGAGTCGAGTAAATCTTTGATTCTTAAATACAATGAAGGAACGTGAACAGAAGAAAAAACCCTGAAAGGAACTGTTGAAACTCTACAAATGAATAGTAGAAGTAGGAAACTTAACCTTGTAACAGCGTTCTGCTTTGATCAATTATTCATCAAAGAGTCTAAAAGAATCTGAGAGCTGTGATTTCACTTGGGTCTCATTTTCCCATTAAACATTTTTATAACCTGATTTTTTTTCCAGCCATGTACTCGAACAGCTGAGTTTGTCCTGAAGAAGCGAGGAGGATCAATGTGGAGTCCTTCTGTCATTTGTGCTATTTGACTCACATCTTATCTCTCCTCTCCCCAGAGCTGCCACTAGGGGGCAAATATTCCTGTCTTGGCAGTAACTGCTCTGTTTCCTTTTGACACGAATCCATCCCTGAACCATTGTCCCATTACCTGGCACTCAGTCCCCTCAGAGGGACGTTACCAGATCTTCACCAAACACAATTGAAGATGATTATTATGAAGAGGGATTTATTTATCTTGGCAGGCCCTCATCTGCACAGAGGACATGTTACATCTCTGATAATGCAACATAACATTTTCTTAAGGGTGTAAATTGTTTCTTTAAAAAGTGTTTTGGTTCACATTTGGGTCTCTAAAAGACACAGCCAACAGAAAACTGTTGAATATTTCAAAGCTTTATTTTACCAGGAAATAATATTTACTTGTTCTGTGTCTCAAAAAGCACAGTGTTGTACCTTTGTCACTGAGTCTGAACCTTTTTTGTAAAAAAGGCACACACCCCTGACAACATATGCAACACTGTGCCTATTTTTGGAGCTGCAGGGTGTCTTAGGAGATTTTAGGGTGTCACTTTTGCTGCCTGACTCTTTGCCAGGGCAGATGCATGCGCTACTCTCCCACGGAGGCCGTTCACCGGCTGGGCAGCCGCGACGGCCACCGTCCCCCATGGTGGGGTGGGCAGACAGAGAGGGCTAACCTTGGAATCCCCTCCCCCGCTGCCACATTCTCCTTTGTCATACCACCACTTGTTTTTCAATTTGTCCAACAGGCCCTGCTCGTTGAGCTTTAGCACGGCCAGGTTGACCGCATTTCTTTAAGTAAGAAAGGAGGGAAAATAGTTTGGTCAGAGTGGAGGATGGAGGGACAGACAAGATGGATGTGGGGACCACAGCCAGGGGGTAGGAGGGAGGGGGGGAGAGGGAGTAGAGGGAGGAGAAATCAGAGGGGTTGAATGGACAAAGGTGGGTTAGTGGGGAAGGATGCACCCCGACAACATTGTCTTTTCTACTCTTTCTCTTTGACTTTCTACTTCTTTTTTGCTTTTACATCTAATTCTGTTCACCTCACATTTGTTTTCTCCCTCTCCGCTGTTGTTGCTGGGTGGCACTAACAGAGGATGTTTCACAGCAAGTGTCAGATTGCTGCTATGAATTGTGTTAACCAGGTCTCTGCAGCCTGCTGTTGGTGCTCTGACTCCCTCCTGCTCTTTGTAAGTGTGTGTGTGTGTGTGTGTGTGTGTGTGTGTCAGTGAGGTCGTGTAGCTCTAGTTCCCTACAGCCGTCCTGCTCACACCCCTGAGGGGGATTGACCTCCAAACAATTTTCAGGGACACAGGGCAAAATTTTGGGCATTAATGCTGCTTGTATTCATGTATTCATCTTCATTATTTCTGATAAGTTCATAAAGTCATTTATTCAGCATATTATCAAAATAACCAACTTGCCTATATTTGAATCCCACTTTAAATATTTTATATGTTTTTATGTGCAGTTGAAAAAGTTGAAAGTATGGATTTTTCTGCTTAAGCTGGCTCAAAAGGAAGCCGTCCTCACGCTGTTCCTTGTGAATGCTGTGCCATTTAGAAGCAACGTTTTTTGCTGACAGGTGTTAGCGCCTCTCACTGGCAGGACATCACCACACTCAATGCTTTCAACTTATCAGGCAACAGTAACTTCAACAGAAAAGTAGAGGTGACAAAATGGATAACATATCGTGTAACGTCAAATCTCTCTAAGTTGATTTCTATATGAAACTAACATGAACTGTGGTTTCTTGGAACATATTAATAATTCCAGGACTCTCTGTCTGTCTGTATGTGGCATGCTCATCTTGAGAAAGCTTCATCGTATCTGCTTCACACTTGTGTCTGGTTATTGATAAGAGAGTGCAGTGTCGAATTTTGACACAGGATACATTCATTTTAATAAACTTTGAATAAACAGGTGACCAGCGCTCTGTAGGTACAGTGGCTTGGACCCGTCAACATAAGTGACGTTGTCGGTCAGAACAACGACTTAACGAGAGCCCTTTGTGCAGCATTGTTGGCACAGCTTCAGGGTTCTGCAGATCGAGTCCTGCAGTCAGTCTCTACTACTACAGGTCACTTTTACAGTTTCAGAATGAAAGCTGCAACCAGCATCACCACGTGAGTGCGATGGCAGTTTCATACACTGACATTTTATCCTATCCTGCACTTTTTGATACAAAAAATCCCAAATTTTTTCTAGACATAGAGAAGCAAAACTCAGCAACCAGCAGTGCTCATGATTCCTCTGATATCCTCTGCAAGTGTCTCCTGAATGCCTCGATATGTAACCTGCTCCTTTAATTTAATCCCCACGAGCACATCCACAAAATTTGGCAGCAGGAGCGAAGTGATTTTGTCATTGTATTCCCAAGATGTCCTAAATAAATTCATTGTGTTCCGTCTCTCTTTCTTTTGCCACATCTCTGCTTTTGTACAGCTACCTGTGTGTCGTTTTTTATTCTTCTACTCCCACCCTCTGCTGACAACTCTTTTGTTTGTGAGATAGTTTAATCAGGCCGGCTAATCTCTACAAAAAGGTCACTGCAGTCGCTGCCTGCTTGTTTGTTAGACTGCACCTTTGTCTGTGCACCTGCCTATTTGAAAGTCCTGTTTCTCCTCAGAGTGTGATGTGCCTGCATGTAAGAGATGCTCATCACAGAAAGGTCATCAGGTCAGGATTTTTTTTAGGGGGGGGAATTAGGATATTTAAAAGGCACACTGCAGGTTTAGCTCTCTGAGTAAATATCATCAAGAGATTGAGAGAGAGAGAATGTTCTCTGGGGTGGTCTAAGGTACAGGCCATGACTAATCTCATCAACATAAGAGGTGTATGGATGATAGCAGTTCATGATAAAAGTCACAAATCATTAAACATTTTAAAAGTAGCAGTACTTCAGAAAGCATACATTCCTAATGCTCATTTCAATCATCAGGGTATTCATCCTCCTCATCAACATCACAAGGGCAAATTAGCATCGTGATTAGAGTGGTGAAAGGAGAGGCAGGCTCACCTGACGTGCACACTCCCAGCCACACGGGTGGTAGAGATCAGGTTTCCACTAATTGAGAGAAGCCAGAGACAACCGTGGATAGTCCCGGAAATGTGTTCTGATGGGGGGGGGCTAAAAGGGTCCTATCCACCCGCTGTCTGTCACTTTTCCCCCTTGAACGGAAAAACCATTTTCTTTTTTGAAAGTAAGTAATAAGGGATGAACTACAGTGACTGTGGTTTCGAGAGGCGTGTTTGCACCACACACAGGGGGAAGTTATAGGAACAGGATGTGAGGCTGATTTGCTGTTTTTTCTTGTTTTGACTTTCGTGAGGCAAATCTGAAATGCGACAGCGAGAGGTGGGGGCAGAGAACAGAGAGCAAGTGGTCCGGCTTTATCGAATTTACCCAATTATTTTCGCTCGGCAGGCACCTGTCACACCGAGAAGACAAAGTCTTGAGGGCCGTTGTCACAGTCCCTTGAAAAATGAATTATTTTCACTGTTTGTATACCCCTGTGAAACCTACAGGGACTGTCACGTTAACAAGGCAGATAAACAAGTGTCTGCTGAAGGAAAATTTAAATAAAAGGACCAACTTTAGTACCATTATTCACTTTCTCATTTGTTTCCTCCACCTTCCACTGTCTTCATTAAGACAAACACACACGTGCTGTCATGTATTTTTATAAAACAACTCTTTGATTTGGTTTTTAATTTGGTTTCACTCAAATACCAACTAATGCAACTAAAATGTAGCATCATCTTTTTTTCAGTTGTGAGTATTTTTGGTGTGGGATCCTGTAATCTGATTACTTCCTAGTCCCCCCATAGTCCAGGCCCCTCTACTTCCCATCTCTGACTTTCAGTTTCCTGCTCCGTTTATAAATTTCCCCTCTTGGCCTTGGATGTAGTGGCAGCAGTCTGAGGTTCTGCCCCTCCTTGCAGCCATATTCATTTGATAAATCTCCCCTATAATAATCATAATCACTACTATCATCATCATCATCATCATCATCATCATCATCATGGCTAACATTTCTGAGGATGAGAGGAACAAAGGGACAAGACAACAGGCAAATGGACAGAGTTACCTGTGTGGTGGCCCTGTGGAGAGAGAGTGATTGATAGAGCAACAGGGGAGAGAGGATGTATACGAACATATACACATGGCACATGACACAGGACATTGGACACAGGGATGAAGCTAACTGGCCATAAATTAACAGGAGAAAAGATGGAGTCAGAAAGGAAAAGAGAGCCAGAAAGAGAATGAAATAAAAAGGGAGGAAAATATGATGTAAAACATAATCTATATACTCAACACATTTGTCTCTGTACGTCGCTGCTGCAGGGTGAAAACATTAAATTATAACTGATTGGACTTTCTTATTTAGTTGTCTTCAGCGCCTCAAGTGCTAAATAATTGTCAGACATCAAAACCAAAATTCTCAAATTGAACATGAGATGTTTTCACCTGACAGCAGAGACAGGTTAATCTATGTGCAGTATAAAAGGCACAGCAGGGTAGGTGGAATATCGCAGCAATAGTGGCAACAGTATCAGCTTTGTTGCTGTCACCTATTGTTACACTATTCCACCCACCTTAACTGTGAGCCTTTCGGTGTGGCAATGCCATATCCTTTGGAGTCCAGGTTGCCCCCGACTTTCATGGTGTCGCAGGGCTTGCGTTGCTCCGTGTACTCGTTCATTGTGGACTCTAGGAGGAAGGCGTACTTCCCCTTGGACTTGCGGACCCTCGCCACTCCCTCCGCCGTGGTCTTAGTGAAGACAGTTGGCTCAGCGGATTTCATATAGGACCACATCTTCTCGTATACGGCTATTTTGGACCTCTGGGGTGGAAAAGTGTGAAGAGGACAGAGGAGGAGGTTAATTTGGGGTGAATGGGCCCCTTTTGTGCTCATATACAAGATTATATAACTAATAGCCGATAAATAATAAAAACACAGAGAATATGTACATAATATACATCTTTCACTACAGGTGGAAATATTAGGAATAGGGCTGTATGGTACTCAATATATAATGACTTTACAATACAAAATGATTGCTATAAAAATAAATAATTGGGTGTCATTTTTAATATAGTATATATTTTACAAAGATTTATGTATAGATATATAAATAAATATAAATTCTCAAAAGTATACAATATTATATGAATATAAAATAATAATATAAAATTCAAATATGAAAATGTATCATTGAAAGGTTCAACATAGAATAATTGTGTTTAAGGCTTTGGTCTTACAATAAACACAATGTGACAATTGGACTGCAATAGAAATGAGAGGCGCAAACAAACAATGTATTAATCACAATAATAATATATCATGATAATCAAGTATTTCCTATATAGCCAAGTAGCTTATTCATCTGTGACAGAGGCATCCTTTAAAAAAACACATCAATCAGTCTTGATTGTTCTAATCCTTCATTTCACTGAACTTTTGGTGGGATTTGCTGAACCTAAGAATAATCAACTTTACTGTTTAAGGCTGGGCTGTTATTGTTGATACATCCATTCCATGTGTCAAATTATGGATGGACATTCACAACTCACTGGTGCCCACAGCAGCTTCTCTAACCACAGATTTGATTATTCAAATCATCTCTACTGAGACAAATAGGAGGAGATGAAAACAGAGCGCCCTGTTCATTATGTTGACACAATGACACTTAAGGCTGCTTATTGATTAGACACTTGTTTTCTTTCTGCTGATAGAAACAACAGCACAGTCCTGAGATTTTACTGCATTTCATTTCTCATGCTGAGGCTTTGACAATTACAGCGCTGATGGAGGGTTGTGTTGTCACTATGTTTGCCTTGATAAGTCAAGCATAGTCCTCACTTCAAATGAGCTTATGACTGGAACAGTGGCAAATGTGGATGCAGATATGGATTTGGTCACCTGATCTCCAGACTCTGTTTGGCATGAGGCAATAGATTGTCTCATATTGAGTGTATACCATTAAATGTGCATGTATGTGTGCAATCGAACAAATAATTATGCCTAAAATGGTGAGTTTATGTATTCAAATGCAGATATATGCATTCCCTATACATTTAACTTCTGTAATAAAGAATTTAATATGTAACTGAAATACTCAAAGTCAATAATAATTAATTGAAGTGAAGAGAGAGGTGTATTTTTTATTTTTTTGGTCATGAGTTCAAATACCAACAGCCGTTCCCCAGAATCTCTTACCCCATCTTTAGTTGGGAATGGATTATCCAATGGGGGACACATACAGATTTTGGTGTCAGCTGTTAAGGTTAGTTAGGTTCAGGTAAATCTCCAGAATGGATGCGAGTATGTAATGTCCCTGAAAGTGATGTGCGACAATGTGTGTGTGTGTGTGTGAACTGTGTGTACTCAAGAGTGAAAATAACAAGTGGAGGAGTCAAACTGTCATCCTCCACAAGCGTCCTGTTTCCCCTTCTCTCCTGGTGATAAAGTGTTATTCTGTCTCTCTGCGAGCGACAAGCCATGGCCTCAGCCACTGATACCAGCACCCAGGGAAGGTGTGTGTGTGCATGTGTGTCGCTAGTGCGTGACGGACACCTATCCCATAATAATGTAACTCACATCTAAGAGGACCATCAGGCCCCCCCTTTCTCCATCCAACCATCTCTCTCAGTCCTTTCTCTTTTTTCTTTCTCTGTCCGTCATCGAAACCCTTCTCACCATCCCCCTCTTCACTCACAGCCTCAACATCATTCTCATTGCTCAAATCCATCTTCATTTTTTCTTTCTTTACATCCTTGCATGCTTGTTTGAGTGTTACTTTCGTGCATTCTGTGTATGTATCCTCCTGTGTATGTGTGTGTGAGTAAGAGAGACGATGATGGCTGTGCGCACATAAAGCACATATAGCAGCATCTGGCCTCAGAGGGATGGATGTGTGACAATACAATGTGACTTTCTCCAGATTCTCTAACAATGAGTGAGGCTATGAAGGAGGGAATGGATGCTGCAAGTCACCTTCAGGCATCCAAACACTAACATATACATCAACTTGTGTGAGCTGAAGACACTGACATACACAAATGCAAACACATGATGCATACTGGGCTAAATGTGGATACATAAATGCTTGCATCTTCACAGACACACACACACACACACAGATAATTAATGGCAATGGTGAAGCCCCCTCAGCTGAGGGAGAGTAAATTGCTTTTTCACCCTCCAAAGATTTCAGCCCGCTCGTTATGCTGATGATGCCAGAGCCGCTCACAGAAGCACAAACTGTCTGCTAAAACGTCCCACCTCCCCCTCTGCCTCCCCCTGCTTCCCCAGATACATGCACACAAGTGCGCACGTCTTCACAAAGCATAACTGTAAATTGGTAAATATACACACAGGATGCATGAGCACACAATTGATTCTGAATATTCCTACAAAGCATGACTATGTGTCGGAGCAGATTTGTCAGTGAACAAGTAATGATGCTGGTGTTTTAGCGTCTGTCTGCAGAAAATTCTGTCTTCATCAGCACTGTGTGTTCGTTTGTTCGTGTATGTGTGTATGTTTGCATTTGTTTATTGATAACTTATGTAATTGCAAACCACATGGGTGAAGAGATCACAGGGTGAAGTCACTCCAGGTCTCCTCTGGGCCACTTCATTCCACTCTGCCATCATTTCCTGCTCTCCACTTTGACATCCCCCTGTAGTAGCTGTATTCTGTTGCACCTCTTTCGACCACCACTACTTGACCGCTCTGCGCTTTCTTGCATTATGATCATGATTGCTTTATTTTACTTCCAGTAAACCTTTGAATTGATTTTATTGCTGAATGTCATGGACAGTTCTGGACTTACACTTAGTACATTTCATTTCTCTATAGGTGAGCTTCCTCACAGTCCTGGTCTTACAGTCTGTTGATAATAATTTTATGATGTTTTATTTTATCTAGTTTATACTCTTTTATCAACAATTTTTTTTAAATTTCTGTTTCTTGTTTATTGCTGTGTGATCTTCAATTAACGTTTAATTGTACATTTATTTGCCTGTTTAATAATGTTGAAGTGTTTTAAGTGTGCTATAAAGTTTAGTATTATTAGTATACTTTGACAGGGTAGTAGTAAGACTAAATGGATTATGGTAAACAACTGTCGTGTAGTATGGAGAATTGTCATCAAAAGCAATAAAATCCCAGATGGGTCCTCTTTACTATTCAGCATACTCCATATTATCTTATTGTGAACTCTCATAGAGCCATCATCCTTTACAAAAGAAATCAAAGCCAGACTTTTAAGCTTGGCATCATTTTCTAATGTCTTGTCTTTCAAAGTTAAAGTCAGTCATTCATTCCTCACCTCCCATCTGGACTATTGTGAATTAGTCTCTCGTCCTTGTCTCACCTACAGCCTGAGCTGAATTCTGCTGCTTTGCTTTTTTTCTGGCTCCAATAGAGGAGACAGCGTCTCCCTTTATATTTGCTTCATCTTACTGGCAAAAACAACTCATTTAATAATATTATCCAACATGTGAAAAATAATGCAATTATGAAAAGGGTGAAGACACGGAAGAGGCATTCTCTGGCAAAATCATTGTGTACCATGACATTTTTACCATAACCCATATAATGCATGTACGAAAACAGCCAAAGAGACCAACAGGGATAAACTACTTCTCCCTGGTCTTCTGAGACTTTCTGCTTTTTCCTTAGTCTGAGCTCAGAAGCAAATTAACCAGATTTAGTGAACGCCTGTAATCTCTAAAGGAATAAAGTAAATGAGGAGAATGTGATGTGTCCATACCCTGAAGAACTCCTTAGTGGAGCCTGAGTCCAGTGTCCCGTAGGCTATCTCTGTCTGTTTGGCCAAATCCTCTGCACTCTCTATGGGTGAGACCATCCTCTCCACGGTGAGGAAGGCTGCCAGGTTGGCCGTATAGGAGGAGATGATGATGAGGGTAAAGAACCACCACACGCCTCCAACGATCCGTCCAGACAGAGACCTGGAGAGAAGACAGATGGACGCATAGCGAGGAGGGGTGACAGAGAGAAGAGGGGAGTCAGAGGTGGAGAGAGACAGAAGGTTAAGAGAGAAGTGGTTTGAGAGAATAGGAGAGATGACAAGATTTAGGAGGGAAGGAATTGCAGATTAGAAATGAGTGGTTATGAATTGAGTGAAAGATGAAGTGAAGATAAAAAGAAAATTAAAGAAAGACAGCAGGAAAAAAAACAGAGGGAAGAAAACATAATTAAGGTTAGCTCCTGAATCAGAGATATGCAGCACAATACACTGTAGTTTCACAAAGCATTTTCCACACCACTGTGTGCATGACTGTGAAAACGACAGCTCTGCCAAAGCAATTGTCTTTCAACAACCAATTCAGCACCAACAATAACATGAAACAGATTGTAATCGGGACGCTCCTCCATCTCTAGTCTTCCATCCTCAATCTCTTTCCCTTTTTTCTCTGTGTTGACTCTCTTTATCTACCAATTGTGAACCGAAGCAGCAGAGTAAGTGGCAATTCATTCTGTTTACACAAACTTGTTTTCACTGAGTAAAAGGGAGGAGAGCAAGCAACATTGAGCACATTAGAGGAAAAGGAGAGGACGATTAGAGAAGGTGGCAAAATGTTAAGTTTTCTTTTCCTAAGTGCCACAGTCAATAAAAGACCATGAAATTCTAATGGACACAAAGAGTGACATAAAACACCCAGACTTTAGAAAAGGAGAAAGACTGTGAAGAGGGATATTGACGAAACACATGCTCTCAGCTACTCCGTTTTCTTTTAAGTATTAGAATGTAAAAGAGAGAATGAACACACTATTTGTAGCCTTTCTCTTTCAGGGAACATTCACAGTATGAATATATCCATTTTGCTCATGTTCCTTAATAAAATCAGATTTTTGGAAATGTTTCATTTTATTTCATTTCACTCCAGGTCCAGAAAGTCTATTCAGTGGCTACTTGAGAGAAACAGAAACGAGCTGGAAACACATCTCTGACAATTTATCAACTTTTAAGGTTTATTATTTACTTTATTTGTAAAACACTTATCTTAAAAACAATTTAACACAAAGTGTTTCACAAAAAAGCAATACCAGCAATTACCAACACCCATCCACTCACCTGCATCCACATACAGAGTAAGCCAGCATTACTGTAACAGGAACTGAGAACCACCAAAGGCAGGAGAAAGATAAAATAATAAAGATATGATAATAATAATAATAAAATACGAAGAGAGAAGTAAGTCAAGCCAGAGAAAACAATAAGTAAGTAACTGAATAAACAAAATACAATAAAATTACATATCTGTCCAAGATGTATAAATACATACAGAGATACAAAGGTCTGTCTTTTAGTTTTTTATGTCATGCTACCACTTACATGATAAGTTACAAATCCAACAACATCAGCATTAAACGTAGTTGTTAAGTATGAAGTTGTTTCTGAAACATGTTTTATCTGCTGGGTTGAAGACCTCTTTACATCTTGATAGCCATCAATAAATAGTTGACTGACAAAAAAAGCAAAAAAAAGCTGGTGTGTGCAGCACTCAGACCAAATGAAATGATTAGCTGGTGTACCCGCCTGTCACTGACTGACCTGCCTGCCTTTGCACACCCTGCCTGTTGCTCTCACTGTGAGTGACCGGGGTCTTCAGCAGGGGAAACATACACTGCAGAAGCAGAGACAATAGCCAGCAGTTGTCAGACATTCATGTGTTTTGGGGGCTCAGCTTTGAAGTGAGGGCTGATAGGAGAGATGCATGTTTTCAAAGTGTCGCCTGCTCTTTCTAGTTTTTCCAGGTTTACCAATCCTAGCTTTAATTTGGATTAATGTTTCTGGCTACCTGGCAAATTTGACTCTGAAGTTCACTGTCTCGTATCTTGTTTTGTTATTTCTGCCTCCACCAGGTGCCACTCCACTAAATGCTGCTGTTGGGCTGGTGGTGGTATAAAGTGGGATATTATGGTGATTGTTGATGCTATGAGGGCTACGAGATTTAACCAAGACAGTGATGTTGCATGGCGAGAAATAGAAATCATAAGCCAAAAGACGGTCAATCATTACCTCCACTAAGAGGGTTATTTTTTTTACAAGATGGAATAGCGTAAAACTTGGTAAAATGGTGGAGTATGGGTCAGGAGAGAACCCATTCCATTTTCGGTGTGGATCTGGATTAAGGGACAGATCCAGATCCAAATAAAGGATCAGAGGACTGTTTGACCTTGGTGGACATATGCTACTGAGTGACATTTTAGTTTCTACTTGTGACTCCTTTCATTCAGAAAATACGGCATGAACGTTTCTCGGACACGTAGCTGTTTGGTGATAAGTCAACTCGGCTGTGAAAGCAGTGATATGTGAGTTACTTTAAGGATGGTTTGGGTTTTAAGGAGTGTGTGCTGGAGAGAGCAGAGAGAGAGAGAG